GGAAAAGATAATTCGATTCACCCAGTTTCCTAATAGTGATTCTGCATTTCCTGCCCCATAACTTATTAAAAACTGCATAGATTAAGCCACCGGATGGAGGAGAACATCTATAAAACTGACCCAAGATGTATTCTTTTTGGTTCTCTAGACCTCGTAACAAAACGTGTTGAGGGATTGTTACCTTAGGAGTCCCATCATCTAGATAGTCTGGTTCAGCTGCTCTGTAAAGATTCCTGGATGTTGGGTTCATTTTTGCTGCCCATGGAAACCGTAGATTATCTTCCATGGTTACTGGATTGTGTAATGCTTGCACACCACAACCTTGACGAATGGTTTGTGATTCAGATATAGAAGGCCATTTTCCTGGAATTTCTCTGGAACTGCAGTGAGTTTGATGAGAGGCTGAGGCAATAGAGAGATTTAACTTTTTAGTCCAAGCACTTTGGAGAAGAGGAGCCGATTTCTCCGCCGGTCCAGATTCCGTTTCATTTTCCTCAGTAATAGTATGTGCTTCTTCACACATCTCCTCTGCTTGAACCGAGTCAGTCGGAGTAAGAGAGACCAAAGAACCATCTGGAATCTAGAGTGGAGGCGACGAGATTGGAAGTATGATTCCCGATGATGTCTTTGTGGTTGTCGATTTAGCCTTCGCTGACCACCAGGATTTACTAGGCCACCGCGGATCTGGGGAATCCACACTGACTTGATTCACTCCGGCTTGCTCTTTCTCCGCCAGATAGTGAATCGGAGATTCAAAACCAGTTTCCATGTTCCTACTAGAAGAGGGCATTAGTGCGTCAATGGCACACTGATAAGAAATTGTGGATTTTGGATCGGGAGGAATTGTTTCCATGGAGAAGAGAAAACAAAAACTTGTATCGTGGTGAGAAAAGCTTCAAAGGAGAGAAGCCACCAAGAGAACGACGACGGCTCGTTACGGCGGAGCCGCCGAGAAACAAGATCGAATAAGGGTTTTGGTTTGCCTAGGAAAACGTGCCTGAAAGAAGAGTCAATTTATTATTATTCTTCCTTTTTTCTATGACTGCCCCTCTTCTTTATCATCTTTGTATTCTTTGAATTCTTCTTCTTTTGTTTTTGGATTTTCTTCATCTTAGATTTTTTTTGTTCCTTTCTCTTTTTCTTACTTATCTAATCTAAGTTTTCTTTCTCTTCTACTTTGTCTTCATCTGATTATTCTTCTTAAATCTTTCAATTTTTCTTCTTTCTCGTATTTTCTTTCTTCTTTGACTTCTTTTTCACCATCTTCTTATACTCCGACTTCTTATTCTTCTTCTTTCTTTTCTTTTCCCACAATAACACCTCATCTTCTTCTTCATTTTTTTTTGTCTTTTTAAAATTCTTATACATCATCTTGACGTTATTCTACTTTGTCTACATCATTTTCTGAGTTAATTCTTCCTCCACTTATGTTTCTTCATATTTTGGTTTTCTTATTCTTCTTTAACTTTCTCTCTTCGTATCCTTATCCTTCTTTGTTATTTTGCGTTATCCATCTTCTTCATTATCTATCATGTTTGTCTTCTTTGTTGTCTTATTCTTCAATTTTTTTTAATCTCCTTCGTCATCTTTAGATTCTCATACTTTGTCATTTTCATATTCCGGTCACCTTTCTTATCTTCAATATCTTTCGCCTTGTATTTTCCCGAGTTCTTCATCAGTATCATCATCTTGCTTTTAATCGTCTTTAACTTCAACTTCTTCTTCTTTATCCCATGTCATCTTTGAATTATTCTTCTTCAGCATCTTCGTCTTCTTCTTCAGCAAAAGAAGATACAACACCAAAAAATTAGGCTCATCTAACAAAATCAGAAATATCGACATAAAAAGTTAAGAACAGCCAGAAAATTAACTTTTCCAGATTAAACAAAAACAAAAATATCAAAAAAAAATATATCTAAACAAATAGTTAAGCAATACCTGAAATAGCGTTTAAGTTTTTTTTTTAATCCATGGTCGCATTTCCCAAATTTCGAAATTATATTTTAATTAGCCTAAAAGAAGATTAGATCAGAGTTTAAGATTCAAATCAAAAATAAATAAAAAGAATAAAAGACAAGCAAACAACAAAGAAGATGAACCAATCCATATATGTGCATACAATACATACACACGTATTGAAATTTTTTAACTGAAACTCCCTAATGCCTTGAAATTAATAAATAACTTGCAAAAAAAGGTACACCATAAATATAACCACATATATGTTCGTAAAGTAACTGACGTTACGTCACATAGATCCTTTTTCTTTGAAGCTAGAGAAAAATCATATATGTATAAAACCTAATAAACAACTATAAAAAAAATATGAGGAAAAATAAATAGAAAAACTAATTAACAATTAAGAGTTTTATGGTAATACATCTAACTTCTGGCCGTTACTAATAAAGAAAAAAATTTGACTTAATCCTAGAATAAAAACTGTAAAACGAAAAACTACTATACATAATGAAAATGAAAGGGATCTGAAAGTCCTCACCAAATTATATTTTGCTTCTAATCGTTTGCTCTTTCTTCTATTTGTTTTATCCACATATCCTAAATATAAAAAATCAAAAAATCAGTTCATACAAAATACAACAAAAAGAAAAAAATCAAGATCGATCTTATTGAAATAAGAAATAACAATAAAGATAGATATCTATCGTATTGAAATAAGTAAAGAAAACATTCATAAAGTAAATTAAACCTACACAATGAAAAAGAAACTTGGTTAAACCATTTTTTTTTTTAAAAAGAGAACAAATAACAAATGTGAGAGTAGACACAAACTATATATATATATATATGACTTGCTGTTTAGGTTTTAGAGATTTTATATTTTTTATTATGATAAATATCAATATAACTGAATACATATTTTTTTATTAACAGAATATTTTTTCTCGGTTTATAAAAATAGTTTCGGCATTATCCTTTCCATATAGCGAAGATTTTATCATTAACAATGAGAAAATTTCTAGAAAATTTTCAGAAAACTTCCATTTTCGATAAAAACGAAAAAATTAATATTTTTATTTTTTAATCATTAAAAACTTTTTCAAACCCAGATTAATTAAATTAGAAAATTTGAAAAACTTTACAAAGTCAAGGAATCAATCCTGCCACACAAAAGATAAGATATCAAATACCTAACCAATAACCTTACCATTATTTTTGGTAAACTAATCAATTCTAAAATATATATTATATTATGGACAAAAAAATAGGAATTAAGCCGTTTCTTTTCAAAATTAGGCTTTAATCTACAACTTGCTGGGTTTTAATTACAAAATATTTCCTTTTTTATCAAAGATTTATTAAAATATTAATTAGATAAAATAGACCAATTAAAAAAACTATTTTCATTAATGGCAAAAAAATAATTTATCACTCTTAGCGAAAACATGCACTTGGCCTAGCAGATCCAATCAGAAAAAATATAATTAAATAAAATTAATTAATCAAATTATAAGGTAAACTGACTGATCAAAACTTCTGATTTTCATTAATCAAAACTACAGAAAAAGATGAGCAGCATATCACTTCGCAAATACTATAATATATATGATTTTAATAACTAAATTATGCATTCAGTAAATAATTAAACTTAATGTTTTTATTTTGTGATATTTGGTATATTCAAAGAAATCGAAAATCTAAATTAAGATATATATTTTCGTAATAAAAATTTAAATATAATATAAAATGTATTTTTAAATAATAGTATAATGTTAAAAATGGTTTTTAATAATTAAAAAAAAAACAAAAACAAATGAAGTGTTTGGAAACAGACAATGTGTTTTTCCGAAAGATTAAAACATAAAGACAAAACAAAAGAAAACTCAATCGCTGCTATAAACCAATCAAGCTTAATTTGTCATGTAATGTGAATTTTAAATTTTTGTATGGTCGAACTTTTTGTTTTGTTGATTACAGTAAAGAAAAACAAAACAAAAAGAAGACGAAAAGGGTCCTGTAACGCAAAATTGCGAGTAAAAAGAATAATAAGGGATGCAAAAAATAAAACACCGAGAACGATTAAAAAGAAACCAAACTATAATCTAAAAAACAAGAAGATGGGAAAAAGCTAATATATTTTGTGGTTCAAGAATCGAGTAGACCAGAATTGAAGCTTATACTTCAATTTATTCTATCTGTTGTTCGGAATCTATGTGGCCAAAGATGTCTGGACAGTCTTCCCATAGTCCGCTCTCGCGGGCTTCCCAGTACCCTCCTTTGTATCGGTAAGCCTCGCTTCCTCTCTCTCTCGTGAACCACCTCGGCTTCCATCCTCTCTCCTGCATCTTCCTAGCCTGTGTCACCCACCGTGACCCACGGACCAGTTTATAGCATAAGAGTTTAGATGTAATGGTGAAACCGAAGGATAGTTATGAGAACCAAACCTAATTAAAATAACTAAAATTACATAGACCGAAACCAACCCAAAGTGAACGTTAACAAAAGTTTTCTATAACCCAACTTAGTAGAACTGAGTGCACCATAACTTCTAAAACTATTTTTTTTTTAAAAAGGTTAACTTCTAAACCTTTAATATCTGAATTATATAGAAAAACACATTTCATTATCCTATAACACAAAATCAAATTTGTCATATTGTATGAAAAAAATTTAACAGTCTATACTTTTCAAAATTAACACAACTCTAAAACTAAAATTAATCCTTCAACCTTAAACTCTAAAATAAAAAAACTCAAACGTCAAAACCGAACTGAAAACCAAATCGAGCTGTTCGTTTTTTTTTTTTTGACATCACAAAACCGAGCTGTTCAATTTGGTATAAATTTATTAACCGGCAAAAACCAAAAAGAGAGGAACCAAACCAAAAAAATACCCACCCGTCGTGAGATATATTACCTGACGTTGTCTCTGTTCCAGCCGCAACTTCTCTGTGTTAGCCATTTCAAACTCTCCGTTCTCCAGATACCTCTGGTCCGGTCTAAGCCTTGAATCCGTTGGTGGCAGCTTCTCCTATATCCATTTCTCATTCAGGTCTGAATGTCTCACTTAAAAACAATATATGAAAATAAGAAACAGAATTCTCTGCGGCATTCACCTTAAGCCCAGGCGTAAGCTCGTTTAAAGTGATTCCAAATCGTGTTAGATTATATTTTGTTGCATTTCCAGGAGGTTTGCTCCGTTTCCAGAGAAGTTGAGCTCCTGACATAGCTTCACTCAATTTCCCTTTCCCAAAACAATCACCCGTCACATAGTGCATGCTCTCATCCCATTTCCCAAACATCGTTGCCACTGTCTTCCCACTCTTGTCTTGAACTATACCATGAACCTGTGACGAGGAAAACTTACTTTATGCCTCACACAAGTCGCAACATAAATCTCGGACCATAACAAGCTCACAACTAGGGGCGGGCAAAAAAAAAAACTAGCCAAAATATCTCACCAGACGCCAAACTCTACTTTAAAAATAGAACGGTAACAATATCTCTATTCCGAACCGAAGCAAAAAGACCAAAATTGTTTAATCACAAAAATTACACGTTATTACATACTATGATACACATTAATTGAAATTAATCATGTACTTTTATCCAAAACTGAACCCAAGCCGAACAAAAGCGACTTTTCCAAACTGAACAAACCAAATGAAAGAAAAAAAACAAATGAAAGAAAGCGGTTTATTTGGTTATACATTTGTCAAAATAAAAAGAAAAAAACGAAGGTCGAACAAAATAAAAGATAAAGAAAATATGAAGAACCAAATGTAGAACAAAAGCGAATTTTTCAAACTGAACAAACCAAATGAAAAAAAAAAAAAAACAAAGGAAAGAAAACGGTTCTTATTTGGTTATACATTAGTAAAAATAAAAAGAAAAAAACGAAGGTCGAACACAAAATAAAAGATAAAGAAAATATGAAGAACCAAATGTCTACTCCTAATCACACACGTGAACTCATTCATCATCTGGTAGCCAGTTAAAATTAAGTACCTGGTGAGGATTTCGGTCGATGATTGACTGCTCCTTAAATTTGAGTTTACATGAGTATTCAGCTTTGCCATCAATGCGCATTGTACCGTAGTGATCACAGTACAGTTTACCAAGTATGAGATTGTATATTGATGTAGTCACCTGAAAGAAAGAACATCATAAGTGACAATATAGAATGTTTATTTGCAATTGATTAGTAAATTTAACTGGTACCTTACTCCACTGAAGGATTTCTCCATCATCAAATTGCAAAGTCAATACACCAACAGGGTCAAGCTGAATCGATCGACCCCAGAATTTGCTCCTCAGATTGCTATCTCCCCAGAATTTCCATCCTGTGCCATCACAATGGCATGCCACAACCATAGGATGATGACTGACCTGACACCAACACGTTTAAGTGGTCTGAATAGCTATACCTAATGAGTCAAACACATAAAAATAGATCTTGCACGTTGTTTATTAAAACCTTTTCTGAGAAAAATCGAAGGCCTTTGTCTGGATAGTCTGCCTCGTATGTTTCACCTAACAATGGATTAAAAGGTTTGCAGATTCTTCCTTCGGTTGATGCATACCCAGACACAGCAAAAGCAGCTACATTAAGAATCCTCATGAGGCTATTTCCCTGAAAAAGTTTCACGTACTAAGCAATATTCAAGATGCTATTACGTACCATAAGGGTTTCAAATGGTACAAGCGTTCAGATGCTTTACCCTTTTGCCCCATTCAAATGCTCGGTCAAGAAGATATGAATATTCCAAATCCTCGAAACACTTCTGTAGAGAAGATAGTGGCTCATTAAAGTAAACAGGGAGACAGACTTTTGTGAGATCCTTGCCTATATTGTCTTTGATCATTGACCAAAGACTAACACTTTTCTCTTTTTCAACCGGGTCAGGTAAACTCTTCCTCCTTTTGACGTGAGGATAGTTAAACCCAATAGATTTGATGGAAGGATCAATATCATCTTCTGACCCAAAGCCATCATCATCAGAAGAAAACGAAGATGTACGAAAGCCAGAACCACTACTCTTGAAAGAACTTGAAGATAGAAAGTCGCGTGTATCAAAAAAAGTATTGTCTTCCTCATCAGTTTCCGCATCACCTCGCTCATTATCATCCTCAGATTCAGTGGCAGTTCCTTCTGAGATAAAACAAACCAAGTCAATTGCAAACTCGGATCAAAATGCAGGTAGATGAAACAGTTACATGCAGGAAAATGCTACGCTAAAGAATAGGAAGCTCGATGACTCACCACTGAACTTCTCATGTCTTAAATCATTGGAACCTCCATTTTCAGCCTGCCTTTGACTCTCATCGACAACTGTGTTCTCCAGATCTACCTTTTCTGTCTGGAGAATCATGCAGGAAGAGCCGCTTTTAGCAGAGAATAGTCGGAAGAGATAACAAACAAACAAATAAATCAACTATCGTAAGAGTTTGCAGATTCAACATCATATCATTACAAGTCACTTCAGCCACTCCAAACATATATCACCATTGCAAGGAGATTATAGCACTGAACATAGAATCTAAATTTAAGGGTTAAGCAGAACAATTATAACTTTAGCAATCAATCAAATTTTTGGTAGATCTTTAATCAATAACCCATTAAAAATAAAGGATATAGTGTGAAAATTGTAATACCTCTAACTGCCTAAGAGTATCAATGAGAAGCCATTGCTTCTGCTTGAGAAGCACTAGCTGACTCTGAAGTGCTGAGAACTCAGACCTCATAATTTGCTCACAGTCCTGAATAGCTAACTCACAGGCTCCTTCATCTATCAACCGTTGCCTAAGCTTCTCCGTCGACATGGCCAAATTGTTGGTAGGAGCCATCAATTCACTATTAGACATCCTTGGAAACATATCTTTGACAGCTTGCAGCGCCTCAACCCAAGTTGTTCTGTCCTCTCGCGTCTCTGCGCGCAAGTGGAGCCTCTTGGTGCCTGTAAATATCGAAAATCTCTTATCATCTGATCTACTCTCCCGAACTGATGAAACCTGCACAGAGTAGATATTTTTAAGATTGTGTTTGATATAATCTAGTTCTGTACAATTATCATTTCCCACTATGTATTACCTCTTCTAAGTATTTCGTTATCACTTAACGCTCTCTCTTATCGCTCAAAAAATCTTATGGCTTTATGTCACTAATCAGACCCTAAAATGAATTAGATAGTTCAAGAGGTATAAACTATTAAAATCTAAGCACCACAGGTATGGCTATGAAACTAATTCAACTTCCATCCGAGAGAAGACAACGATATAGCAAGGAAATGATCAAAATACTTCAGCAACCATTGAAGAAGATTGGACATAACAATTTAATCGGTATCCAACCTTGAGATGTACTTCTCCGAATGGCTTCCGACGTAATTGGTTAGTGCCGCTGCTTCCACCATGCTTGTGGCGCCTAGAGATCATACGAGCAGACTCATCTCCGATCACTTTTGATCCCTTTTCAGTTTCAGGGCTAACGAAGATCTTATCAGGTCCATGGATTTTATAATACGAAAGTACACCATCCTGCAGAACGAACCACCTTGGTCGCCATCCTCTGCCATAATTCACCCACTTATGCAATATCCCAGCGATTCCATTCCCGACGATATCGTTAATCTTCACATCAACCGGCGGTTCTCTAACCGCCGACGCCGGTAAGGCTAAAACGCGTTGCCCTAACCGATTTGCGACGTCACTCTGGTGGTTGAAGGAGAGACTATGGAGGAGATGGTGATTGGATTGATCGGAATGATGATTATAACTCTGTGAAGCAGATCGAGTCATAATGGGTTCGGATCGAGTCATACCGAAAGGCGGTTGCGGTTGTGGTGGCGGTTGCTCCGGTAACGGCATCGAAGGAGAGTGATCAGAGAAAGTAGAAACGCAACAGAAGGGATGCATGTGGAAACAGGTCTAAGATAAAAAATCGAAAAATTGGCGATCGTTGGATCCGATGATTGTGCGGCGGATGACGGCGGAGATGGTGGAGGAGAGGAAGAAACTCTCGTTCATCGCAGAGCGATGGGAGATTGATGAGGAGGATGCAGGGAATTGAGAATTGGAAACTCTAGAAAGAGGAAAGAATTGAGAGGTGGTTGTTGAAAATGGGTCAGAGAAGAAAGCGAAAAGTTCGGTAGCAGAAGGAAGAAGAGAGAGTCACCGGAGAGACAGAACGTTTTTATTTATTTATAATTATTAGTATTTTTCAAATTTACTAATTTGTATTAATTATAGTCTGTGACTTGAGGAAAGAGGTCAGAAAAATCGGTGCCGTCTTAGGGGTGATTCTGATGTGGCGAGGAATCGGGGATGCGGTCACTTGCATTTTGCTTTATGGTGATGACAAAAAAAAAAAAATAGCATAATTAAGGAAATAAGTCCAATTTGAAATCAATGTAACGATTTACTGTACAACATTAAGAAAGTAAGCAAAAACGATTTAGGTTCGCAATATTCGACGTATTCTGTATTGAATAATCAACTACTAGATTTTAACCGTGCATCCGTACGAGAATTTTGTTTTAATCAAAATTTATAATTTAATTTATGTTTTATTTATAAATATAATTTTTTATTAAATAATATAAAAAAAATTTGTGTTTAAATATAATTTTTTATTTTTTGTAGTATTATTATGACCACCATGATCATAAAAACGTAATTTTAACCCGGTTATTTTATTAATCAAAAAATAATCATTACTATAAAAATATATTTCTAACTCGCTCATTTTATTAATCCGAAAAGACCATGATTATGAAACCATAATTCTAACCCGTCCGTTTATATTACTATATAATATAAATATTTACTAATTTTGAAATAATTTTCTCCTAATATCTTGCATGCTTTGATAACCTAACCCGTAGAAGACCATAATTATAAAAAAAAACTTAACTTGTCCCATCAAATTATTATATAATATTAATATTTATCTATTTTTAATATGTGAAATTTTAATATGATAGAATATGATTAAAAAATATATAATAAGATATTTGTTAATCATGTGTTATTCTGAAAATCTTATTTAAATTTCAAATGTTAAATTAAATCTAACATATATTTAAAAAAGTCTATTTAATTTAATATCTATAGACTATAGATATGATAACTAAGGTTTTCAAGGTCTTAATAAGGGTTATCAATCCCTTAGCTGTTGCAGCATAAAATGTATCAATCCATAAGTGTAGTTGTCAGACACTAGTTTATGTGATAAACTCTTAAGTCAAGTGATCAAAGATGAGTTTTGGTGTGAACAAAGTAACAAGAAAGCATAAAACAAGAAACAAGAAAAGCAATGATTAATGAATTAAACAAGGCAACAAAATAAGATGATGGTGCTTAACCAAATGATGGAAGATAAGCATCTAGGTGTGATCATTGATTAGGGTGCTTTCAATGCAAACTAATGATGCTAAAGAACAATGCAACACTTGCTACTCTTTAGTCTAGGCTTCTTAATCAGATTAATCCACTCTCATGACAGAAATCTATTTGCAAATCACTTAATCAAGTCTAACAACCATTAGAGATAACTAAGCAATTAACAAGCATAATGTTCCAAGCCTAATTAGTGACCAAATAATCTTTAACAAAGAAAGACTGAATCTTATACAGAAAGACATAGCAAGCAATCACATGATCTCTTATCCAATCAACTTAGAGTTTAAAGCTAGACTAATCTTCTCATGAAGGTATTAATCTCTATACTAATCCATTTTCAAACCAAATTCCCATTTATGAACTATGAACTACTCACTAATCATGATGAACACACTATTGCTTAAAAAGAGACTACTCACTAATCATGATGAACACATCATTTCCTTTGCAAGAGGTGATGTTGATCATGATTAAAAGTTAAGATGACATGAAGAAATGATAAGAAACAGCTTTAAGATGCTTAAATCTGCTAGATATCTCTTGATCAAACTCGTTTTTACACTAAAGAGGCAAAGAAAACAAGAGAGAATAAAGCTTAAGTCTTGGAAAAAACCCTAAAAAGCATATATAGTGTCTCTTGCGGACCGGGTCAGCCCAAGACAAACTGGGTACTGATCTGGCTTCAAATGGGTCATGTCTCAAGTGTGCGACATGGTCAGGTGCTTCCCAAGTCGCAGGCCCAAGTCGCACAGCTATAGAAACAGCCTTGTGCACCTTAAATCCTTCAGCCCCAGCCGCATGCCTATCTAGGTGTAAACTGCGAGTGTTTGTGCTGTTCAGGCTTTCTTCTCTTCAACTCGCACAACCACGACGCATTCTGGAGATAATATGTGTGCGAGTTGGTCCTCCTTTAGTCACAAGTCGCAGGCCCAAGTCGCACAGCCATAGAAACAGCTTTGTGCACCTTAAATCCTTCAGCCCCAGCCGCATGCCTATCTAGGTGTAAACAGCGAGTGTTTGTGCTGTTCAGGCTTCTTTCTCTTCAACTCGCACAACCAGGACGCATTCTAGAGAGAATATGTGTGTGAGTTGGTCATCTTTAGTCCCAAGCCGCAGGCCAAGTCGGTGTAAACCGCGAGTCTTTCTGCGGTTCAGTTCTCTGCTCGGCCATCTCGCATGCCTAAGTTGCACTCGGACCACTTCGCATTCAGGGGAGCGTAACTTCGAGGATATGGATCCAAATAGTATGATTCTAATTTTAATGGAAAGAGAGTTCAAATATCTCAAACTTTGGTGAAGAAACTATCGGAGCTTGGGAAGTGGAAGGTTCCCCGGAGGGCTCATCTCTGCAGCGCATTGAAACGATCAAAAAGAAGCTCTTGGACCAGTGTTCTCTCCGGAGATGATATCTTTCAGTACACAGATCTAAACTGGATGATCTTAGACTTTATGGAAAGATAACTCAAAGACCTTGAATTTTGATGAAGATCCCGGCAACTGAATCAGACAGGAAAGGCATCTTTCCACGCAATGTTTGTGACTCATCGGATCGGTCTTGAAACTGTAGCGAGACACGTGTGCCTTCCGGTGAGCTTAACTCTCTGCTCACGACTCCAAATTCAATGATTCCACCTGTTCTGGAGACCAAATCTTCTCCAACTTTTGTGAAGACCCTGTAATCTGAATCGGACGTTAAAAGTTCCCGGACAGGCGATCTTTCCAGATGTATCGGATTGCTCCGGAATGGACTCGAGAGAGGTCTGTCTTCCGGTGGCCGTATCTTTCAGCTCGCTGTTCCAAACTCATCGATTGCAACTGTTCTGAGATCTAGATTCAACTATCTTGATCTTTTCTGAAGACTCTGGAGGCTGAATCGGCCGGCAAGACCTTCCGGTAACGCGATTTTGGAGATGTATCTGCATCCAGGAATTTTGGCCGAGAACCTTGAACAGCCGGTACGCGTTTTGGCCGAGAAATCCACCCGCGGTACATGAAAATCGCCGAGAAAAAGCTTCCTGCAGTATGGGCTATCGTCTAGAACCTCCAAAAGGCTGTTTTCACTGTTTTTAAAGCTCTGATCACCATTTCTTTTCCTGGTTTCACCTTTTCAGCTCTAAATAGCTCCAAATACACCTGATAAACACTCCAAAGCATGCAAAGACTCATGGGGACCTAATGCAACCCCTATGCCCTAAAACAACACCTAAAGACCTAAAATGCATGAAATAAAACATGATTTGGAATGAATTATACAACCTAAATGATGCAAATTATGAACATATCAACTCCCCCACACTTGTCATTTGCTTGTCCTCAAGCAAAATGAACAAATGAGAGAAAGAGGTTGAATGCATTGGGAGCTCATTTTTCCTTTGAAAGAGAGAAGTGACCACTAAGAGAATTCAAGTTCATGCTCAATATGCAATGCAAGACCATACTCTGATGTATCAACTCAACAGTAATCTCCACAAGTTCTCCTATTCCTCAACTCTTTGACATTCATTATGCTTTTTACCAAGTGGATCAAATGATGCAATGTTCAAACAAGCAAAGTTTGACTAGGGTGAGGTTATGAGACTTAAATGATCTCATCAGCGCCTGAGTGGGTTCAATGTAGCAAGGGGATCTCTCTATGAATGATCAAACTTTGGCAGAATGCTAAAGGTAAAAAGCAACCTATGCATACAAGGGCAAGGACTCATCCCACTCCACACTCTACTCAAAGCTTTCTCACTTGCTCACTCTCTCAAGAACCTTACTTTCCACACTCATTTTCCTCTCACTAGGGGACTCACTTTTCATTTTCACCCTCAAGTCTTGGAGTTCAAACTTTACATAGCTCTTTTTCACTTTCTTTTGTAACCTCTAGCCTCTTTTTCTTTCTTTTTAAAACATTTGAGCTCTTTGGCTTCTTTTCTTTTCAAAACATTTGATCTCTTTGGCTTCTTTTCTTTTCCTTTCACTTAGAGGCTAGACTCTTTCTTTTCAAAACACTAGAGCTCACTTTCTTTGACTCAAAACTGCAAGACTGATTTCTTTTCTTTTTCTATCCCCTAGTTCTCACCACTCTCCTTTTTCCACTCACCACTAAGGGAATAGGAATTCGCCTTACCTCGCCAACAGGAGAAGTCTTGGAGCAGTCCTTCTGCCTGAATTTCCACGCCTCGATCAACGAAGCAGAATACGAAGCATCGATCGCTGGCCTACAATTAGCAAAAGGAATCAAGGTTCAAAAAATAAGAGCCTTTTGCGACTCACAGCTCGTAGCAAACCAATTTAACAGAGAATACGAAGCGAATGATGGAAGAATGGGAGCATACCTCAGAGTAGTCCAGAACTTGGTGGAAAAGTTCGACGAGTTGATAGGCAAGTCTTTTTAGGTCTCAGGGCTATCAATCCCCTTGTCAAAGTAGCACAAAAGAGGTTGTCAATCCAAGAATGTGGTGATAGACACTAAGCTATGTAATCAGTTTCTCAATTCAAGTAAGCAAGTGAGGTTTTGATTGATTTGTGAC